AAATTCCACTGTTTCACCCCAAGAGTAAGCAGAAGGGAAACCCAGAAAACAAATGTGGGTCAGTGGGGGTGGCAGTGAACTGCGGCGTACGTTGCTATTTCTTATTTGTCTGCACAGCCCGGCTATGCAGCGTACGGACCCGCAGACAGAGTTAGCTCCCCGCACAAGCCTGTATCAGATCTCAAACTCACTGTGTCCTAATGCTCCTTGATCAGAGATTTAAGCTGGTTCCCAGCATATGTGTGCTTGGAAAAGTTATTTACTTTTCATGCTTTGACAGTTGCTTTGCCATATCCTGGACGAGGCAAATAACAGTAACGTTGGATATCTGGAAGGCGTTTCAATAGGTTTGAATAAACGCTCCATCCAGACTCCTTACAGCATCTAATATTGTCTTTGAACTATGATTTTCCTAACCGAACCTTCCAAAATTTTTCCTTGCAGACAACTCTTTTTCTGCAGTCAGTCAGATTAAATACCCGTGTTCCTTTTGCTCAGCGATATTCGCTGCCGATAGCTTTTATCAGCTGGCTTCCAGGCGGTGCTTAGTCTTACAGTGGGCAAGTCTGCGTGTCTCAAATTTGTTTACTCGCGCTGCTGAGGAGATCTGCACAATGCGGGTACTTGACTATCGGGTTTACTTGAGGACTGCGCTGTCACTACAACAACACAGGTAGGCTCAGGAGCAGCACTCGCATCGGGGACTCGTGATTTTGCAGGATCATACTTATGGTATTTCACATAGGGTGTCCTGAAAATACAGTCACAACTGTTTAAATGCTTTGTTCTTTCTAATGAGCACCAATTTTCCCCGTTGAAGTCAGAGGATTAAGCAGGATGTAATGACTCGTAGTGGAATTTGACTAAATGCATGCTATGATTATGCAGAAAGACTCGAGATGATTCGCTGATGGAACAATGCCTCTCCCTTTAAGGTAAGGCACGTAATGACAGCTGTACTGTATAATTATGTACACATACAATTCTTTCCAAGAAATCACAATTTGCTGCCAGATCCCAATTTCTCAATACAGACATAAATTTTAGGGATTTTGTTCTTGCAGTGACGTAGAGTCCCCGTAAATGAACAGTGGTCTTTTGATAGGAAAACACGACCTCTAACGCATGACCAGAACGTTCAGTCAACTGAGAAATCAAAGAACTCACATACAGTTTAGTAAAAAATCCCAACTTGCTGCTCATTTAATGTATCAAACCACAAATGTATTTGTTTTTCTGAGGTAGTTAGATGGGGGAGGAGGAGAAAAACAACCTCCTGGAGTGCTATATATTTAGGAAAGGTTGTAGGTGATGCAACCACTCATTATGCTTATTGAAGAACGTATATGCTAAAATCCTCAAACTACTCACGTGCGTGGCTCTCAATGAACTTATCATGCTCGACTGGTCCAAGAATTCGTGCAAATCGTCGCATTGTTTCGTAAAGGTCTTGAACCTCCTTTGGATATCGCCTTTCCAAAACTAGAGGGGGGAAAAAAGTGACACATATAATCACTACTACTGTGAGAATAAATTGAATGGAACCTGGACTGACTGCCAGTCTCCGTGAACTGCCCAAAGATCCAGATTTTGGTACATTTTTTGGCCATTTTGGTGTCACAACTACAAATCGATGAGTAAAAAGCAACAAAATTATATAGCCCTTAAGATTCCAAAAGCTTAAAGGATGATACTTAAATGTTGTTGGATCATTTCTTAGAATAGTGAGATGCACTTAAATGGCCAAGATTTCACCTTCACCCCTCTCCCTACTCCGCAGGGCCCGAAATGCTTCTGAAGAGCAATTCCGAGACAAAAACTAAACCACTGAGCTGGGAGTGGTTGGAACCAGCTGGTTGGAAACAGTCGGGGCAGGGAATCTGCTGGAATCCAGACCAGCTGAGTATGGTCCAGTATGAATAAACCACAGTGGTGCACTGGAAACAGTGAACGTGCGAAGTTTTGCTTCCCGAGTAGAGGCCACTTTAAAGGTAAGCAGTTACACCTGATACTCACTCTGAAATTTTCTGAGGTTGATTAGGCCGTGATCTCTTATAATTCTGTAATTGAAAGCAAAATTGTATTACTAAAAAGGCATTAACTCATGTATTACCTCATAAATACAAAGGTTTCAGAAGAAACTTTGATTTAGACCATCAGAAGGGCCTAAAACTAAACACGTATGACATTTCCCTAACCCTTGATCTGGTTAGCTGAGAAACACGGCGTAGTGATGCAACGCAGCTTTACTCGGGGGTAAATTTTGGGCAGCGGTGTGCACTAATCCAACTCTGACAGCACTGAGCACAAAGGGAGCTACAATCGCTTTAAAGGTTTGAAATGGCTTCTTTAGGCACAGATTTCGCATCTACAGAGTCTTGTAATGTATCCTTCCAAAACTGGAGTAAAGGAATGCCCCATGAAGCGTGATTTCCAGCTTCAGAGGGAGACAAAGGTCCTTCTACTAGCGCACGGGTGAGAGATGGACTGTAAATTCCACCCCTGGGAGCAGGATGAAGGGCTTTTCCCATGAGAGTTTAGATTTCAAAAAGAGGAAAATGATTTAGGTGACCCATGAGTTTGAAACGTTCCTGACAGGATCAGGGAAACGAGCAGAGTAAAAGGGTAGGTAAGAGATTTACACGCGCATGACAAATTCATTCTTGACAGGTTTCAGCAAACGTCATGTGGTCATTGCTATGTGGTGATTCAATAAACACCCGAATTTGCAAATGGTAAGAGATACTACAAAGTTGGGCTCGTCAAAGTCAAGTTGGAATTTGCTCTATAAAATCCATTACATTTTCTTTAGTGTGTATAAAAGAATATTCCTGTCCCACGGAGAGAAGATTTTACGAGAGTGACATCAACAGTTTTATGTAATTTTCCAGATTTTTTGTTCCATCCTGCTGTAGAAACTTCACAAAAACTGACACCGATTTGATTTATGTAACTGAGCCTTATGGCACTTCCTTTTAGTGTGACATGATTTATCATAATGGAAATTATACCCCATAAATATTTTTTTTTTATTTATGAGTTATAAAGAACCAGGTCAATACATATCAACTTTTACCTGTCATTTAGCAGAACTATGCTGTATTATGAGGAGAAGGAATAGAGGAATCTTACTCCAAATTACTAATTCTTCCAGCAGAAAGTAATACGGCAAGATATAATTTTAAATATTGAACGAAGTATTTGAAAGTTATAATAAAATTGAATTTAATGAATAGATTGAGTCATTCTAAAAAGCTGTCAAATGAACTGAATAAATTATTCAAACTCACGTCAGCAGTATAGTTATCTTCATTACACATTGTGGAAAAGTAACTTATGGATTACTAAGAATTAAAAATAATGATGCAAACCATTTCTATGGAGAAAGTGGGGGGTCTAGCAATGAGTCACAGACTGGCAGCTTTTTTTCCCTCCTGAAGTAGAAAGTGAATTATGTGTAGTCCACCAGCATTACACAGAACAGAGACGTGCCTCTTTTTTCTGGTTCCCAGATCCGTGACCGGTTTCCCAGGTGGGATTTCAGTTTCTCCTTCTGCAAAATGGCTCCGTGATCTCATCAGGTGCGCTAGAAGCTCAGTTATTTATGTATAACGGGATTTGGGCAAGTAATATGAAGAGCTCTGTGCACGTGACTCTCGTGCTAAAAAGGACCGGAAAACAGGCTTTTCACAACTAGTGACTTGGGTTGGAGAGTTTAAAGGAGAGTTATGGTGTGTGGAGGTCCTTTGCCAACCATGTGTACAAATAAGCATCAGGGTGTGTTAAGCTGTGTCTTCTGGGCTGGTGCCCAGAGGGAGAAGCACACATCCAAGATGAAGCCTGTCATGAAATCTCATAGCAGAAAGTCTCCATGCATGGGGATTGCCTGGAAGGGTGTTATAGGAAAGCAATTAAGTTTAGTGTTAGGACAACAACGGGGAACAAAACATGGTAATGAAGCAAAGGAACACAGTTATTGCTTGAAAACTCACTTTTTTCTTCTCTGTCTTTCCTTTAACCTGGAATGATAGATATCTACAACTGCAATCTTGAGAGCTGCAAAATAATTAAAAAAAAGATTACAGAATACAGAAGTAATCACCGCATTGGGCGTTTTCAAGCATTCCTGTTTATGGTAAGCTGAAATGGTCACTCTACGTTCTGTTTTAAAAATCCCAGGGGCAATTGTACAGGGGCATAAACTCACTAGAGGCTAACCTTCTGCAGACTACACATGGCACCTGTAGCTTCCCTTTGCTTACTCCTTCCAAACACATACGGAATGTATGCCTGTAAATATGAACCTGGGTAGATCCTGAGAACTCTCTTCCTCTTCCTTCTTGCACTGTTTTACTGTTGGCACTTATTTGTTCCTTTGTACATGCAACCATTAAGTACTCCGTCTCCTGAAAAGCAAATTTATTGGATTTGAGGACCTGAGGTACCATCTTTGGACAAAGGTTTCTTTGCATAGAACAAGGAGCTCCAAAAACCAGAAGGACACAGTTCTGAACTGTGAAGATTCAAAATAGCCTTTGCTACAGTTCTTAAAAACATCTACAGGATTTTAGCTTGTTAGCTTCTAAACTTCGCTGTCTGCCAGAAGAACAAAGAGAACAGTTCACGGCAATGTGAAGAAGCACAGGAAAAAGCCATGCTCATTAGAAATCATATCCTTTTCAAAATCAAATCTGGCTGCAGTCTGGCTGATCCACTCGGAGATCCTCCTGCTTCTTCTTCCTGTAACCATTAGGTTAATAAACTTTTTTGGTAAATTCTTGAAAGAAAAGATAAGGAGACACCTATCACCTTCCCCTTCCCTCATTTTGTTAAATAATGCAAAAAATTCTAGGTCATTAAATAAGCATAGAGCTGGCTGATTTCTCTGTTGGCTTTTTTTCCTTTACATTAATCACTTCAATATGCTCTCAGAGGGAAGAGGCTGAGACCTGACGGTGGGTTTGCAGTCTGTGGAGACAACGTGCAGCGCTCTCAAACTCAGCGAGCGCACGTCCCCTTTCAGCCCTCTGTGCCGTGCAATCGGGGGCGGCCCCAGTGCGACAGCATCCAGAACCCACTCCTCGGTCTGTAGTTACAAGAAAAAGAGCAAAATTGATACCGGCAGCTTACTGATTGCGCTCTCCAATAAATAATTAATAATGCAATTAAGAAAGCAGCGCGGTTATGCATCTATTTTAAAATAGGTATTTATATGTAAACACCAGGAAGCCCCCAGCCTCGGGGCGATTCATCTGTGCGGTCCCCTGGGGGATAAAATTTCTTAGAAACAGGGACAGCTAAAGCCCAAAGGCTGTGCCTATTCGCTCAGCGGCCAACAGTTGTGAGTTACGCTCGCTGAGCCTGTATTAGCAAAAGAATCTTCATTTTATACAAAATGGAACTGATGTTAATCTAGGAGCAAAAGATTCTGCATGAAGACAGGAGGGGTGGTACAATGTTCTTACTTCTTTCTGCAAATTCCTTGCAAAACCAGAGTGTTCAAGAATCGTTATGTGTTTTCGTAAAGAGTTTCCTAATTTAAGAACAAGCAGAGGTAGCGAATTCTCCTCCTTACTTAAATGTGGGGACAAGAAATTGGGAAGCGCAGCAAGTTAAACATGAATGAAATATATTACTAAGTGTTGGAATTGGTGCCAGTTTATGGAAAATATTTTTATATTTTTAAACCCTCTGCAAGCTAAGCTAACGTGTTATTTTCTGGGGTTTGTGTGGGCAGAACTTAATAAGTATATGCAGAAATTGCATTGGAGAACCTCTATAAATATCACAAGTAATTATGCACCTCTAACCATTGCATTTTGCTGCTTTCACCTGAGTGCACAATATTCTGAAAGAAATTATGATCAACTGGGGATGGGAAGGAACATTCACGAGAACAAATGAAGGGGAAAAAATGGAGCTTCTGCTTACAGAAAAATTAGTATTTGCTGCCACATGCACTTTTGGAGGGGCTTTTGTTTTTAATAGACATATTCACACAGGAACAGCCAATTACAAGATCTGGAATGCATGAATAACTCACACTACTATACTGTTACATGCTGCATTGAAATGAGAAAAGAGATGCTGTCCGAATGGAAATGATTTGCCTGTGCTTCTCCCCATGGATAACACCAGGGAGGCAGTTGTTTGTGCTGGTAACTTAAGATAATCCAAGCTGACGTCATGTTCGGAGTGTCCATTTTGGGAATGATAAGGCTCTTTGAGATGGTCAGGGTAGCTTGGAAGGATCCAGCGATAGGCAGAAATTCAAGGCTCCTTTCTCCATTCCAAAAAATCAAAATATTTTGGTTTCTCAAGAGTCCGTGTCCAAAATAGTTTCTTTGCTTTTCATTCCTCTTCAGGCTCGTCTGGTCTCCAAAAACTTTTGAACACTAATGAGTGAGACCTTTGTTTCACGCTAGCTAACCTCCGTTTGGCATGCGAGGCCCAAATAATGGGAAGAATGCAAACTAATCGAAGTAAACAGGCTGTGTATCCAGCGTGCGCCTCGGCTGGTACAAACTTAGTGGCCGCAATCCAAATTCGCCCTCCCTAGAGGAAAGCGGGACCCTGGGCAAACGGAGTCTCTGCCTTCCCAGCACGTCAGGAACTTCCACCAAAGGATAAACATCATGTAATATTTAGAAGGACATTGACTGCCTTCTATCTCATAATTTCAGTACTGTACAGCCAGAGTTGCAGCCTATTTCCACTCGCTTCTAAACTTGTGGTTTCAGCAATTACTTCCCAGTGTTAGAGGTAAAAATCATTTACATGAGAAGGAACGGGGAGAAAAAGCCTAGAAAAAGATAAATTACTGATGTTATAATTCAGGCTGATGAAAACTTGTAATTCATGAAATATTCAAGCGCTCTGGGCTGAATTAGATTTGTAACTAGTTGTTTCTGTTGATCCGTCCATTATGTTTTCTTTAACTGCAATACATATTTGCATGCCCTTATTATATTGCAAGTACTGAATAAAAGTTAACAGTTCAGTAAGTTATTGAAATATGAGTGATTTCATACAATTTCTACCACCTCACTAATGCCAAGAAGGGACTGAACAACGTCTGGGACCTGCTGTGTGGTGGGAGGAGCTGGTTTGTCAGAGGGTACCGGTTTCTGTGCTCCCCGTAAAAGGCTGCCTGGGAGTCTTTCCACCTTGTATTAAATTGCATTTTTCTTTCTTGTGGAAATACTGAGAACTTGTTTAGAGTGACACAGGAAAATACAACAGGGAAAATGCAATGATATCGGGAAACAGAGATCAAGAACTTTTTATAAAATGATTTTGACAAAATTTCAAGAAAAGGAGAGGGAAGAAGGGGGAATTCCATTCCAATGAAAGCATCATATATTCCTGAGTTAACGTGCGACCCAGACACTGCAGCGCTGATCTGTGACTCATGAAAGAGAGACCATAGAAATTATTCTGGTTGGTGTGTTCTCAGGGTCTAGCTTGAGTAACTTTCAGAAAATGGAATATAAAAGTAGTTTTTAAAAATCAATCTTGAACCTAGTGAGGTTTAATGCATGGCAGAAAAACAAACCAAGAAATTTTTTCACAAACCTGATACTTAATCTATGCTGCAAGACCCCATTTGGGCTTCTCTGGGCTAGAAAATGTGTTAAAACCCAGTTTTACATTTTTACCTTTAAAAAAAAAAAAAAGCTTGCCGTTTGGCCAGCAAAAATGTGTCTCGAGCAGGTGTGGAGGACAGCCACAGGGCTGCTTCTCAAGGACGTCTCTGTAAGATGTAGCACGGGCAGGGCCGGGGTAGAGGGGCACGCTGGGGCCGCTGCCTGGCAGCAGTGGGAGAGAGCGCGGGAGCCTGAGCCTCCGGGGCTGCCCCACAACCGTCCCTGCCTGCTAACTAGAAAGTAAAAAGGTTTCTGAACTCATCCAAACGCCCGTCCCTGCTTAGCTGTTTTCTACAGTATGAAATCCTACAATTAGGTTGCGAAATACTCTCAAGCAATCAAGCAAAGTCAGCATCCGAGACCTTTAAAACTGCAGGACAGGGAAGATGCAGCCCCTTCCTTTTTTGTGTTAACTTGGAGAAGGGAAAGATGTAATCGCAAAGTTTCTTTTAGAAAATAATTCCTTCTCTCCCCAAGATGTCTGATGTAAAAGAAAAACAGCTGGCGAGACCCTGAGACTTCATTCTTCGAGGCATTCTCTCTCTCTCGTGGGCAGGTCTAGGACAGCTGTGGGAAGGAAGCTGCCAGAGTCCCTGAGCTGAGAGATCGAAAATGTAGTTGGTCACGCTCCGTAACCTCTGCCAAACAGTTTTCACAGGGCAAATGCCTGACATCCCATACTAAATACTGAAGACAACTGAAGAATGGACTAGAGAACATCCAATGAAATTACCAGGCAAAAGATCTGACAGACAGAAGGAAGTATTTTTTCACACAGCGCATAATTAAATTGCAGAACTCCTAACTCAATTGTGGAACTCACTGCTACAGGATGTTATGGGGGCAGAAGTACACATATATATAGTTCTAACAGTAGTTAGCTACGTTCATGGAGGACAGGTCCTTTGGTCCAAATGGTCAGAACACAACCTATGGCTCAAGAAATCTCTGAACGTGTCACTGTAGGAAACGTGGAAGACACAGCAGGAAAAGCATCTGCCTGTACTTGCCTTTTCTTACGTTCTTCTCCTGTGCGTCTGCTCTGGGGTAGTAACAGGACAGGGAGATAGACAGACCAAAGGGTCCGGCCCTGCACAGCGCTATGATATGCTGAAGAGATGAGGAAAGCTGATTTTGCACTCAGATTGACAATTTAAACAGGAGGCCGGTAGGAGATAAATGGGTGAACTGCGCAGTGGGAGGAAGACAGTGCTGGTTAACCAACTTGAATGAATATTAAGCTATTAATGAACAGACCTAGGAGATTATTTTGCTTTTTCAGTTTACCAGGGCTCAGAATAGGACGTGGAAGCAAGAAAATATATCTAGTAATAGTAATACAAAGAAACAGTAGAGAGATGGCATGATGAATCCGTGACATGTCCACAAGCCAGTCCCCCTTTCAATAAACGTTAAAAGGGAAAAGAGACCGACATACGATTCTCATAACCTTTTTTTTTGAGCCAAGGGAGTTTGCTCTTAAAGCTCTGTGTACACTGCTAAATTTCAAACTGATGTTTTTAAGCTTGGGAAGTCTGTGTGTAGGTAACAGGATTTCTCTGTCTCCAAGGGATGCTAAGGCTTTAGCTTAGAACTGCCTGACATAGATGGGAGAATTCTGAAACATAAACTCAGTACTTTTAAACACCATCTGAACTTATAAATGTGGGGAAAAGTATGATCTTTTCTTCTCTATGGATTAAAATGTCATTTTAATAATTCCTGTTACTTGGTATTATTAAGGCAGCTTCGTTCACAGACACTCAGTAGCAGTAATTGGACTCATACAACAACCATCCTCTTCACAATAAAAAAGTAAGTTGTCACACACAGCTCATGCTACTGTAACTCAGCATGCATGGAGGGACTTTTTACAAGGGCATGTAGCGACAGGACGAGGGGGAATGGCTTCACTGGAAGAGGGGAGATTTAGATTAGACATAGGAAGAACTGTTTCCCTGTGGGGGTGGTGATCCCCTGGGGCAGGTTGCCCCGAGAAGCTGTGGCTGCCCCATCCCTGGAGGTGTTCAAGGCCAGGTTGGACGGGGCTTGGAGCAACCTGGGCTGGGGGGAGGTGGCCCTGCCCAGGGCAGGGGGTGGCACTGGATGGTCTTCAAGGTCCCTTCTAACCCAAACCATTCCGTGATTCTATGAATCTATGATCTTCTAAGAAACTAGATACAGTAAAGCAAAGGAGTATTAGCAATAGAGAACAAAGTGTTCCTTTTCCTGAATCGGAACAGAAGTTGCGCCTTGCTACAACGCTCACAAACATTATGTAAATGGAAAGAATATCTTTCAGCCAGGGAGGGGAAGTAATATCAAGGCGTCGATGTTTCTGGTTTTTAATAGGCCTGTAGGTCTGTTTCTTCAAACACTGATGTACTGCTGCACTGTACCTGTTTCCAGACAAATTGCTATCTCAGATAATTTGCTGCTGCTTAGCTAAACTTCCTCTAGAGTTTATACTGCATAAAACATCATTTGTGTCTTCCCCCCCCACTGGTGGGGACTGTTTGATTTCAGTCATGTTCTACTTTACAGCTGGCTACGGTTCAGTAGTGAGTGAAGTGCATTATTCTATATGTAATTACCATTTGTATGTCAGTTGATTAAGAGCTTTTAAAAGAGATTTGAAAGTGAGGACCACAGAAATGCCAGTGTTTAAATCCCAGCGCACGGATGTGAGATCATTAAAAATGTATGTTCAATTTTTAAAAAGCGTGCAGAGGAGACCGAATGAAATGCTGAGTAGGCACTCTGAAACACTGTTTTCAGACAACGTACAGAAATATGTGACTTACCATGCAAAATGTCTGAATCATCTTCTACAAAATCAATATCTCTCAAATCCCATTCAGCATAGTTGTCAAACTCCTGTTCAGAGGTGATTAATAACGTGTCATTAACTAGCACTAACAAGTTGGTATCAAGTTTCGGTACCCCTAGAAGTACTGAAAACAGATATTTACTCATACACAGTTGTACAAGGTTCCTTCCTTGAGCAACATACATCACAGGAGAGCTTTAACTAGGGAGCGGGTAACACGCACCCCCATGGCTGGAACTGGAACAGGATGCTGCGATAGGATAATGAGAATTAAGCAGGTAATCTCCCTGACTCCCACACTGTGCTGGAAATTCTGCTCAAACGTACAAAAACAAGCAGCCCCTATATGGCTGAATTCATTACTTCATGTACAGGAGCTTGTTTTGCAACAGGAATTGGGGCCCCGGGCCCACAGCTAAAAACACTGAAAACAATGCAGGTCTTTCAAGCCATCTTTGGATCAGGCTCCTATGCGTTTCTCTAAGGCGAATGAAACAGAAGCACGCTGAAGCTGACCCCTTTTGCTAAGCATCTAATTCACAACATCCAGCGCGCTTACGCAAGAGCCATTCATGGCTGGACATCTGGTGGCAGCAGCACCCCGCAGCCCCCGCGCACCCGCACTGGCCGGCGGCTTCCCGGGCTTCCAGCGCCACCTCTGCAATTAAATCCCTGCTTTAATCACTCTGTCCTGTCCTCTCTTCTCATGTTTTTTATAAGAAGGGGCAAACAAGGGGCAGGGGTAGGGGCAAACAAGCACGCGTTTGCCGATCTTGCGTTCAGTAGCGAATTGAAAATAATGGGAGAGGAGAGAGTCTTACCTCGACAAAGTCAGCTCTCGCTGGCATGTACCCAGCCATATCCCTGGAGAGCAGGGAATCGAAAGTAGGCCGGGGGGGATCATCAGCAGCTGAAAAAATAAAGGGTTTTAGTTGTTGTGTAGGGCTTGGCTTTTTTTTTTTTTTTTTTTTTTAAACGATCTGTAAATAGGTGTTTCTTTTGCAGGAGAAGTGGGAATAATTAGTTGAAGAAAAACACCCTGATCGGGCTTTTATTCAGCATTATAGTCAGAAAAAGACCAAGTTCACCCAGAGAAAAATGCAGTAATCTGAGATCTTCATAGTATTCTCAAAAGTCAAACACAGAAATTCAAGGTAATAAATAGGTTATAAAATGTAAACTCTACATTTCAGAGCTCAGCATCCTGCCGGTAAACCTCGGCGGATCACTGGGTCTCAGCACGCAAGTTCTTTTAGTTAATAGCAACAGGGGTGTTAAATCTGCCATCTTCTGGGTGCCGTTTACAGAGAGCTGCAATTAAAGCTATACAACTCTGAATTTTTACAGCGCTTCCCAGCTGAGGCACTCGGTGTTTCACAGACAATAACGGACCGAGGCTCACAACACACTTGTGAAGGAGCTAAGCGTTATAAGTCCCATGCTGCAGCTAAAGCAAGCTGAGGCACGGAGAATTTGTCTTGGCCCGGGTCACGTAAAAAAAAAATCAATGACAGCCAGGGACAGAACCAAAATTGTCCAGTTCCTACCGCTTTAGCTCTAACCACTTTATCGTGAAATCTAAACCTCCAGACACCAAGCAATCTTTTCACCCAGCCATTCTGGGGAGCTCTCTAATGGAACAGCCGATAGACTGGGGGAATGTGAAAGATGTTAAATTTAAGGAAAACTGAAAATGTGTTAAATTGCTGAAATTTTACACAGACTTTTAAGAAGGCGGTTTTAAAGAGAGAGGTGTGAAATCAGCATAATTTAAAGGGAATGATTTTATGACAAATCACATCAGCAGTGAGCCCCAGTACACAGTAGATAATCAGATGAAACGTTTTAGAGGTCGCAATCCCTTCTCAGTTAACATCGCTGCGCAGGGTCTGGACAAGAAAAGTAACCACCCAGCATCAGGGGGGGAACTCTCGTGGTATTTACTGTGAAGAACATGCTGTTACATCGCGCCACGTGTGAAGCAGCTTTGAGGTAGCTTATCCTTTAAATGAATATGCGTCTCCAGGCTTTTGCTGTGGTGATTTCTGTGAGTGACCATTTCCCCTGGCTGCGTGGGAACTTCTGGTTCTGAGAACGTGATGTTTATATCAGACCACTCTGTTCCCTCCTTTCTCCCACTGAACTGGCAGTCTTGTCTATTTGATACACCAATGATTTAATACAGAGTGAGGAAAACCCTACTACGAACATTAGTCAAGTTAGCCATCGGAGCAAGCTCTCCTTTTTGGGAATGAAAGCAAACGGCATGTGCGGTGTGTGCCTTTCTCCAAAGGCTGCTCATTCCAGTCTGGGAAGAGCAGAGACCTTGCGGGGAAGCTCCCTGCGTGTGCTGGTGGGCAGGGGATACTCACGGTGGAAAGGAATGGCTGTTTCGTTCTGCTGCGCCTCCTCCGCCTGCTTCAGGTTCAGTAGCGTAGACGCAAACAAGGGGTTGTTGATAAAGTGTTTCATATAATGTTTCTCACACTCCTCCTTGGATTTCGTACACATCTGGTTGGCTACGTCCTGCCTGAAGTGGGGAGAGGGAGAGGCTTAACATGAAGAATACAGAAATGTTGCCGCTTTTTTTCTTTCTCTAGTGGGAAAAGATAATTTTGGACAGGAGATTGATCACATGGTGTGCAGAGAACTGACCTGTGACAACGTCTGAATTCACATTTTGCGTACAATCACTGAGCCAATACTTGGTTGACACAGGGCTAGGGAGCGCTTTTTTTGGTGGTCACAAGTAATGCAATGCACTGTCTTTACATGGGAAACTCCCAGGCTGACAGAACATACCAAATCTTTTATATGCTTGAAATTTATTATTATTATTTGAGAGCTTTTTATACATTTTACTAACTCCACGTAATGGTAAATTTTAAATCTGGAATTGCATTCTGCTTCTCAAGTTTCTCTTGTGATTTTAACTGGACAGCGGTTTCCCCATTCATTTAGTGATGTTAAAACAAGGGTTTTTTTAAACACTGAAATGGTTGTACAAAACAATCTTTGCCAAACTTTCCTGGAAAAGTGGTTGACTAGAAACGTGGAGTATTTTGTCTCAATAAAATGGCTGTGTAAGTTGAGCACTAAAAAAAAAATATCCACCAGCAGCAATGATTTTAATTTCTGTTAAAGTAAAAACTGGATGCAAGGGATTCCAGGAAGAAAAGTCAGTTTTTCCTTTATTTGGTAAAGGCTGAGAAAAGCCAAGTGTTTCAGGAAAAAGTTAAGATTACTTGTAGTGCTAAGTAGGGCAAAGCGTACTAGACAGCACGCTTGCAGAACATAACTGCAACCAGTTTTCAGTCTTAATTATGACAGCAACATACACATAAGAACTCACAGTTCTGTTTCAGTGAAGTCTGGAGTTCTATACTTTTAATAAGCTATTTTTTCATGAAGAGAGATAACTCATGACTACAGAGCTCCTTTCTTTACAAATGTATAAAAATCCTGTAGCAACTACAGAAATTAATGTAAAAATATTAAATATTTCCAGTGCTCTATCCTAAATATGAGAGAGAAGCAGGAAACCTCCAGAAATAACAATACCTAGCTAATCAACTCTAAGCAAACGGAAACCACACAAGATAAGAAATTCTGTAGTTGTTTTTTACATAGGAGTAAATCTTGTGCAATAGTTGAGCTCCTTCAAAACCTAGTGACTTTAATGCAAACTGAGGGAACTTTGTACTTCACTGGAGATGCCCTGCATCTCACAAGAAGCCTTTAACAATTTCCTTGTATAGCTAACAGCAAATTTGAAAACAGAATCTGCTACACCAGTCTTCCACTTTAGCTGCTAAATTAGAGTCTCGCCCACGGTAAGTCACTGAACATCAAATGTGCACTGATGTATTCAACAGTAAGATCCAGTGAAATGAAAGAAAAAACTACCCATCACTCACTGAGGTTGGCTGAACCACTAAATTCTCACCAGTTTCCAAATCCACAGTCCATCACAGCTTCTAGGAGAGCCATTTCTTCTTGAGCTGTCCAGTTAGGATCCAAGACAGGGAAATCGGAAGTCTAGAGAAGAAAAAAGCAAATCAAACCGCTGTGATCCTCTGTTATAATCCACCACATGAAGAGCAAAGAAGTTCTAAATTACAGGGCAACATGGTATATAATACCGGCAGTTTTAAACTTTTACTGTGTCCCATGAAACCCGATCAAATAATTGCCGAATTATTTAGGCAACTGGGTGGGTCATCAACTACAGTAAAAAACAGTTTGTAGCTACAGATCTTCTGAATATACTGTTACCTGTTGCATCTACCAGCTGTAATTCAACAATGTGATGCTATGAAACACAGTAAAAATTACTGCAGATTTTTTAAATGACTAATTGCGGGGAAGAAAAAACAAGAATAGAGAACCAGAAGTTGATTCACGTGGTTAAAGAACTGGAAGCCTGGTGGGACGCACTGTGCTATCGAGGCACAATAAAAAAACGTAGCTTTAAAAGTCTCCACTCTTCCATTATGTTCCAGGTGGGTTTTCCTTTGTTTTCAAGGAAGATGTTTTCTTTTTTAAATAGTTCTAAACCTCTGAATCAAAGAATTGTATCACTTTGCTTTTCAACGTAGTATTAGTAAGCAAGGGTCTAACTCCTGGGAAGTTATGAGAGCTCAAAATTGAGTAGGTGTTATCTAAAAGGAGTATTTACCATTATCTCATAAGTATGATCGCTTTGATGTTTCTTGTATTCAAATCCTCGTGTGAAACACTGTAGAACAAAAGATTAGCATTATGTTAGTCTCTTCCTTCTGCCCTGAAAACATTTTAACTTGTCCCTTTTTTCCTTTTATTCTCTGACCACCGGCTACACCCCGATATGCTGAAAAATACACCCAATTTTTCTGATTTCATTTTAGAAAAAACATCAAATGGTAGAAAAATCTTTGTCTTTGCACCAAGACGTAACTCCTGTGAATTGACATACTTTTTTGTTAAGTATTTATGCCAAAGTGAGGCAGGCGAAAGAAGCTTCGTGCTACGTTCTGAAGTCGATGGTTCCAGGAAGAGAGCAGAACATTTCTTAAGTATTGAAAACACAGTTTTCCTTTCGTCTTGGTTTTCTGTTTAAAAAGCCCCAGCATGGTTTGCAGCTATTTTCAACAGTTATATTTCTGTTTTTTTAAGTACAGGTAAATGAACAAAAATATACCCAATATAGAAAATACGATTTTGTGTATGTTGTACCTATCTGAGCACAAGGCTACGCTCCTTTTTCAGTTTGAGAGGTTATTGCCATTTTTTAATTGTAAATAATGCAAACTTATTTACTAATTAAAACTAGCAGTACTTTCTGTGGTTATCAGATCATGAACAATTTTTAAAGAACTATATCTGTCCACAAACAATTACTGCCAATATTGCAAACTTTCCCCAAATTTTCTTTTCCCTCCCAAATGGGAGAGAAAAAACGACGTGGGGTGACAGGGAAAGGGTGTTTCTTGATGGCTTTTCTTTTCCATGCCACAAAGAACAACAGAAAGGATACCTCTCTGGACAGGCAGCGGCATGCTCCGTTACGCAGCCAGGCTGACCGCGTGTCTTTAGATAGCTTTGGCTGCCCTCACAAAGATCTCCTTCAGCTGCTCATGCCTCAGTTCCTCAGCCTCCAACATTTTCTTTGTCGCTTCCCTGTCCCTGAGCAAATAAGTGTGTTGATACAAGTTTGCAGAGACCAGTTATTAATGTGTTTATGGAACAGCTTGGCACCGGACAGGCCTTTGATGACTTTCTCGAAGAAATGAATGCCTTTGCTTTTATCCTTGCACTCACCTGCAAACACAGGAGGAAGGGAGGAGGCCCACACTCCGCACACTTAACGTAGGGCTCCGTGAGGTACGAAGAGCAACCTCGGCATGGAGGCTTATCAAAAGGGTCATCTGTGAAGCCAAAAGTAAATCTCATGCAATGCAAACAAGGCACTGTTTTTGCAATCACCTAAATCACTCATGCCCAGTAATTTTAAGTGAACTCAACTGTATATAACCCCTTTCCTACTGCATCTTCTCCAAATATCTGTTAGAAGTTCCGTGTTCAGCTAGAGATGTAAGACAGATTTGGCACTGCGTCTCCGCTAGACCTGATGCACTGAGGTACACTGATACCTGATAAACCGAAACTTGTGCAAAGCAGTCAAAGGAAAACCTTCTCTGCTGCAGCCTCATGGTACAACTCAGCAGTGATGCCAGGAGCTGCGCGAGCTGGCGGATTGCATCCACTGCCCACACTCGTGTTCTGCACCGCAGGCCAGACCCGAGGCCGTATTTGTGGAGAATACTGCAAAGAGAGCTGCCGTCTCCCATCCATCCACCTCAAATCCGACTCGTAAAGCGTATTGCTGTGGTTGCAAAGGCACCAACGAGATTGTTCTGTAACCCGTCCAAGCCTCAGACTCTGCTCGGATTGCTGAAGTCCTCAAAATAAATAGACTGTCAAGTTATAAGCCACGTTTTTTCCAAGAAAATGGATTAGAACTAGCCCAACTATAAAGATAGAAAAGAAGATCTGAATTCCCACTGAATCACTCATGTACTCGTGCTCTTGAGAATTTGATCAAAGAAGTGACCCTGTGGACCAAATACTGCGAGTTTTCTTGTCTCCCTCCCCCAGATGGCTGCTAATGTCTTTTAACAATAGCAAACACTTTCCAAATGTCATCTTACGGTACTTACTACCGAAGGAGGCCAGACGCTCCATTCCTCCCCCTCGGTGGTGTTCTTGCTCCTCTGAGTAAAGCCCGTCTTGCCTAAAAGCCCGCAGCGTAAGCCTTGCCCCAACCAGGGTGTCCAAAACGGGTGTTCTCTGCCTGCGGACGTCTCTCCCGCAGCCCTCGCAGATGAGGTCCTCCCACAGTGTCCTGGACACAAAAGCAAAAGGGCTGTCAGCAGCCTTCCTAACAGGCACCATCTGACATGGCTGAGTGTCTGTTTTCTGCGTATGAGAAGAAATCAAATGCAGAGAGAGGGGACAGAGCGTAAGAGATGTGAGGTGATGGGGGTATCAGCCAGTCCC